CTCTCTGTGTGTGTGTGTGTGTATATATATATATATATATATATATATATATATATATATATATAGCAAAATTTGTTCTTCTCAATGACTTTTACATGAAATATAAGAAAAACTAAAGTTGTATCTAGGTGCTGAAACCCATCATATGGCACTGTGGTGTAAAATGTATTATATTCATTAATTAATTTAAGAAATACCCTTTACCAATGAGAACAGCAGTGTTTTTCTATTTCAAATTCAAAATCCTATTTACAATTCTAATAGTTAAACAACTATTAATTAAACATGTTGTTATTTGTTCAGCTGGTAGCTGGCCCATTGGCCTCTACATAAATCCTGATTAAATGATTAAATGATGTTCACCTAAAGGTAGGTATCGCCTAAAAACATGCAATGTGGATTTTTTAAACAATTCTTTTTTTCCTTAAAAGTGTCTAGGGTCACTATCAAACTTAGTTATAGACAAGTCTAGATGAGAGTGTCATAAGGTTAAATTGCATCTGTGCAGTGTAGATGGAATTTGGATCAAATAAAGCCCAATTAAACATAACTACACATTATTTCAAAACATTTTAAAAGCAAGCAAAATGAGACCAGTTGTTGTGCTTACCCTCTGAAACCCTGTCCCTAACCACTGATGCATTGAGTGCTTTAAAAATAGATAAGACTGTTAACACTGGTTTCTGTGTTATCAAATATGTGTTAGGTGTAACAGTAAGACTGGATTTCGATTTTCATCCACAACATAATGAAAACATCTACATCAATAGTCAATTATAAGAGTAGCAAAAGAAGTAACATTAACAAAAAGTTGTCTGTTATTTAATATACTAACTGTCTATCCCAAACTCCTAAAGAATAAAAGTAGTTTATGTTGAAAAACTGTTTGTATAGCATGTCCATAATGCAAATCAGAAAGTAATTCTGTCTCCATAACAAAGAGACTATATGTCAAAACACTTTACATCAATGTTGCCATATAAAACATACTCTAATACTGCAATAACATACAACATACAAATAGGCTATTGCAATATAAAAAGAAAGTAAAACCACTAAAACATTATAAAATCGTTAATATCAAGAATTTTAAAAGCACTTTAGGCATGTACATATATCAGATGACGCAAAATGCACTGATTTTAGTAAAGAATTACAAATAGCCTATACATAAAACCTCCCAAAGTGCCCTCAACAGGCATCTGTCCATGTTGTACTGTAAGCTTGGCTTGCAAAATTGTTTCAAACCATTCCCATTACTTTTACTTACTCGTGTAGTCTCTATTCATTTTATAACAAACCGTCAAATAAAATGTCCAAAGCCAGTTTATATGTATTATGACAGACGGCACAGAGCACGTCGAGTTTGGAAGACAATGCCAACCAGTTAATCTCTTTAGTCTAAAGCTAAAGCAGAAAAATACTTTAAATGGTAAGCATTTAATTGCCGTAGAAGTTGTTTCCAGGGTTTTATTAATCGGACCAAACTGTGTGACTAACCGTGTACACACACTCCCTGCCTTCAAAAAAGAAAATTGTCCCAGTAACACTTTTGCTCTTTTTGAATAAAACCAACAGCGATATTAAATGTAGAATTATTAAAACTGCAGCCAGAATTTCATAAGAAAGAGAAATCATTATCCAGTTTTACCTTTTCTCGCAGACAAGCTGTTGTTTACTACCTTGATGTAGTGCGCCGCTCGCGTGCTTCAGTTGTGCTTCAGTTGTGGCTTGTGTTGAAACCAACACAAGCCACGCGCACTTACCGTAAGGAATAGAAGAGAATTCTGCGCTGCTGCGGCGGCAACGTACCGTAAGAAATGTAGCTGACTAAACATTATCGTCGTCTTCTCTGTAAAAGGTTTGTCTCTCAGACATCATGCATGTCTCGAAAGGGTTTTGGTCCTCATATGAAGTTGAAGGTGACAAATTGACTGCTTTTGCCAATAAAGCAGTCAATAGGAGTCAGAGTATGCTTTTGAGATTGATGACACAATCTTCATACATATCAATGTAAAATAATAATGTTGTTTCTGTATAATATTCATAGACACACATTTAGGTACTGCATTGCATGCATTTTCAAGTGGGATAGATCATAAGAAAAACACAGGGCAGAGATTTTAAGATTTATAGGAAGTATTTGCTGTAGTTTAAATACTGAGCACATACAGTATTTAAAGCATTTATTAAATTAAATGATGTTAGAATGTCAGAATGCATTGGACATATGTCCTTGCTAGGAAAAAAAGAAAAAGAAAAAAATGTCATAGCTTAACGGGATAGATCACCTAAAAATGAAAAATTCTATCATCATATTCGAAACTTTTTGGGTGAATTATCCCTGCTGGTTTTTAGAACATGAGTTTCTGGTCCAAGGGAGTCTGCCAGTATACATCATTCATGTTAGCTCATATTCTCTGTTTTGCCCAAGAGCCATTATAAAAATATGATGATATTGGAATTTTTACTTGTGTAACTGGACATTGGACTCAAAACGTCTCAGTTAATGGGATATAGCCCATCTGACCTGACAGAATGTTCTTCATTATTAAAGACAAGAAATGGGGACTATAAGGCAGCCAATTTAGTGTGAACATGCTGTTTTCAGCATAAATCAGAAGCAGCTGTTGGGTATCTGTAATTTATTGTGAGCATCTATTTTATTGTTAAGGTATAAACTTAATCTCTCAATCAATTCACGCAATACAATGAAAGGTGCTTTAATCTCTCTCATGAAAACAAATCTAAGAATTCTGAAGATTGTTTTTCATTACCAAAACTATTATCTGCCCCTTGAAGCATTCTACCTCAAGACAGACATTTATTTATATGTATACATGTGTTTATTAAGGAATAAAAAATAAAAGCAACCCCTCAGGTCCAGCAAGGTGTTTGTAACAACATTTTCATTAATGGCTTAATTAATACAAAGTTAATGCACCATAGCCATAGATGCTAAATCAAGTTGGGCATGCTTCAAATGGTTTGCTTGTTTGTGCTTAAAAAATATTGTGCTGAAAGTACTTACCCTCAGGCCATCCGAAATGTAGTTTTCGGATCAGAAGGAGTTTCCTCATCAGAAAGAGATTTGGAGAAATTTAGTGTAACGGAGGCCAGCTGGTAGCTGCTGTGCAGGTAAACCTCACTCCCCTGATCTCAAGAGGCACGCTAGCAACTGAAACAAGAGGCTGCAGTCTTTAGCCTTCTTGTTAGTGTGCCCACCTCGGTGAGCGTGATTTCACCAAGTACAACATGTTCCTGGATCAACATCCTTGTTTATCCTGGAACAACATTCCAATCAACCAATCAGAATTGAGATATAACTTTTCAGGAAATATCTGTTTTAGGCTTAAAATCAGGGTTAGGTGCTTCTACACCCTTGTTAATCAGCTATCATTTCCCTCTGATTTTAGCAATAAATTATGGGTAAGGTTAGGTTTAGGGGTAGGGATTGGGTTAAGTCTATATTTTTGGACAATAATGTTGATCCAGGATCATCAAAAGATGTTGATCCAGGAACATGTCTTACTTGGCAAAATCACGGCGACCGCCCACCTCCCATGCTGGTCGCCATGCTGGGTTCGAGTCCCGCTTGGAGCGGGTACAAGTAGGACCCGGGGGTTACATTAGCATTGCATGCCTAGTTCCTCCATCTATTCCTCAAATCTTGTCGAAATCTTCAAAGTGAACCTCACTGTGCCCTTGCTCTCAACAATAAAATGCCATGTTTCTTGTGCACAAGATCACAACAGCTATTTAATAAACATTGAAGGTAAGTATGTCTTGTCATGCAGTCCACAGCTTGGATCATGTCTTCTGTAATAATGCACTTATGCACCTCTGAAGGGGCTCTGAAAGGCTCTTCACGTGAACTCAAACAGAAATACATTGAACGTGCTCCTGATTACCTAACCCTCATCAAATGCAGTCTGTAACTATTATGCAATCAGTCTTAGAATGTGCCTGGCCTACATCTCAGGAAATAGCAATTATTTAAATGATAACTCATGAGTGATTTGTGATATGATATGCCTGAACTTGTTTATGGTTAATCTATTATAGAAAATAGAAAATACTTCAAAAATGAATGTGACTGTTTGCACTGTGTATGACCTCAGTTAAATTCTAGCCATGTAATAGAGTGGAGGAAAATACTAAGCCACTCCCCTGTTATTCTATGCTTCCCATGACACTTCTAATGGATCACGATGATGACGTGAGATGTAAAAGTGAACAGAAGAAAAGAAACATCCTGCCACCGAAGAGGAAAGAAAACCACAGTTTATAACAGCAGTTTGTTCAATTGCAGTGTGAATAGATATAAAAGACATAAAACGAGCAAAGAAGAATTGAGCTAAAACCCACAATATGATAGAATATCTATCAGTCCTCCATTTATCATTCATCAAAACCTTGTTTAGATTCTTGAAGATAAACAATATTTACCTCATATTTAACTGACAGGTCTTTTTTTTCTTAACTAGTGTAATGTAAAATGTACACCTGAAGAGAAAAACAATACTGAATTAAAATGTATTTGTACAGCACCTGAAAACCCCTGTGTAGCTTATCTGAGGCATTTCAAAGAAACTTCTGCAAAAACATTAGAAATGCAACATGACACTTTGAAACAGGATTATTGCGACCCAAGCAAATCAGAGTGAGCTTAAATCCACCAGAGTCATAAAGCTACAGTATAACCCATCTTATTACATTAATATGTTCAAAGTTTTAGAATTTAAAGCAGTACAGCATGGAATAAAAAGTATTGATCAAAAGTGCATATATATTGGCTGTGTTTATGTGACATTCCTGAGAACAATTTAATGGGTTCAGTTTAATGTATATAAGAGCAGTGGTTATAAGAAACCACAAGCATTACCATGGCAACAGAAACTCTTGCTGTGCAGTTGTGAGATGGGATGGCAGAGGATCTGGAACTACCATCATTTGAAGCCACAACTTCAAACCCGTAAATACAGAATTTAATGTGATTTTTTCATTTACTGTCATTATAAACCTCATCAAAACACGACATTTCCTGCCAGTCGTATTGTCCATCTCTAATGAAGTTCTCTGAACAGCCCATAAATAGATCACTACCTAATTTTGCTCTGTTGATTTTGGCATCAAAAATAAAAGTATTTTACAATGACAAACATATATTAAACACATTAATCAGGCCCAAGAAGTCATCTCTTAGCTTTGCTCACTGTACCTAATAAACCTCACAAAAGCCATTATCATTGTCCCATTCCAGGTATTTGAATAAATAGTATTATTGGTCATAATGCATGGTGTCTTTTTTTCCATAGCAACATTTAAACCATCACAGCAACAGAGTGTGATGCAGACCGACATTAAATGGCAAAGGTAAAAATAAAAAAAGAGAGCGAGATTCCCTTCAAATCTAAAGGGTTGTGTATGATATAACATTTAAAAAAAATGTGATGTAAAAAACTGTGAAAGGCTTAAAAGTTTTGTCTTGTAAGTCTGTCTCAGAAAGAAAATGAGAGAAAATGGTCTACTTCATGTTACAGTCCAGAGGGAAAGTGTACCCCAGCTGAGATATAAAATTACATCTTTCCGGTGTGTTGAGACTTTGAGCTTGGAGACAAAGAAGAGAATCTAACTTCCAACTCTTGCAAAAACACATAAACTTTGCACAAACGCAGGTGTACTACTACAGAGATGCATATAAACATATTAGCGCCTTGAAAATGAGTATCTTTTTTCTCAGATGTCACTATCAGCAAGACACAAGACATCTCATGGATTTACCTCACTCATTTTGGGACTATTTCCCAAAAACATCTTGCAATTTTGGCTTTGATGTGAACATTTCTTGACAACTGACTGGTCAGTCCTAACAATAATGACACTGAGAATATACATCTTTCAAATATACAGATTTCAAAGTGAAATGACTGTATGATTATAGCATGATTATGAATAGGATTGTGATCTAAATCAGGGGTTTTCAAACATGTCTTCCTTATCAGACACACCCAATTCAGGTCTTGCAGTCTCTATACTAATGAGCTGATGTGTTGAATCAGGTGTGTTAGATGAGGGAGACATACAAAATGTGCAAGACAGGTTTGAAAACCCCCGATCTAAATGATCACTAACAAAATAGCTCCACCAAGTGGACAGTATTTATTATTTTCTTGTATTTATTTACGTATGTATGCATGTATGTATGTATGTATGTATGTATGTATGTATGTATGAATGAATAAATAAATGAATGAATGAATGAACTGCCTTGGGTGTGATTTTTTTTTCATGTAATCTCAGCCATAACTGCATGATATTCTTGTATTGACCTGACAGTATAGCCATAAATATGATAAAAAAAGGAAAAATAAATGTATAACAAAGACTAAAAAACAACAACAAATGGACATATGTAAATGACCTTTAGCTAATTAATATTATAACCAATGTGAATATCAATATGAAATCATTCATATACTGCAGTATATGAGTATACCATTCATATACTGCAGTATACCTTTCACAAGTGCAGCATTCACAAAATTCATTGGTTTCCCCACAGAAATCATTGCCATAATAACAAGAAATTGGTTTAATGTCTCTGAGGACTTTCACACAGGCTGTATCTTGACCAGACACAAACTGAAATTTTACAGTTCTTTACATTTCTGATGCTTTATTTCAGGAAATATTTAATCTGTATAATAAATCACAAGTACCTTGCAAT